CAATCGCTAGAATAGAAGGATTTTAAGTCCCAATATGGTAACTGTCATACAATTTTGTTTGAGACATCTAGACATTAATGCACTACTGCTCTGTTGCCTTTCTCCCTGCCGTTTCCACTAAATCTATGTTTTTTCTTGGCTTGCCCTTTATGCCCTTGAAAGTGTTATTTCTGAAATTCGATTAGCAAGTGGCTAAGCAAAAAAATTGATGTACATACAAACAAACAGTGCAATGCTGCATATGAAGGGATCTGAAGATACAGAATCACAGAATGGCCAAGGTTGGAAGGGACCTCTGGAGATCATCTAGTCCAACCCCCCCTGCTCAAGCAGGGTCCTCTAGAGCACATTGCCCAGGATTGTGTCCAGGCAATAAATATGGCACGCACAATGACATTACATAACTAGTTTTAGCTTAAGTCCACAATCACACATATATCGAGTGACTGCACTTCCTTCAGAGTCCTTCAAGGATTATCCTTGATCCTTTACTCTTAAGTAATTCAGCAGTAACTGGGAAGATGACAGTTTTCAGGTACTATAAGGTTTGGGAAAGAGACTTACACATAAGTATTTAGTAATAGGAAATGCATACAGAACAACTAACACAAGCAAACAGAAGTCTCTATATGCCAAAGTGCCAAACTGCATCAAAAACAAACAACCAAACCAGAAGCCACCAGAAGCCACAGTAGGAAACAGCAGGAGGGGGAAAAAAGAGAGTGAGAACTTGAGTCATGGCTTTCAATCAAATATACGTTAGCTTCCAGTGTAATTTTCTTCCTTTGCTTTCTTTGTCTTTCATCCAGGTATTTATCTAGTCCTTCTGGTCAGAAAGGGAAAGACAGAGAAACAAGAAAAAAAGATGTACGCTGCCACATAAGAGGCTGGGCAGCAAGATTATTTTCTTACTTGTCATGAGCGGTATTGATGCTGGATTACTACAACTCAGTCTGACATCCAGAGTTGACATGAGAAAAGGCAGGAAGCAATAAAGGACTGACAGGTACACTACTACATCAGACGTTTCAAGAGCCCTCTCTACGGCAACCCTCCATTTTCTTGGAGGGTGGAACTTGCTCCCGCTGGAACTTGCTCCCGGAGGAAAGAGGGTGGGGGCTGATGTGGGCACTGATGAGTGCAAGATGCATAGAGACTCCTGGAGTTGGAGGCTTTCTTTGGCCATTTAAAAGATTAAAAAACCCCACAGAATTCTCATCCCCAAACATAGATCCGCATGGGCTAGCAGTATATCTCATATGCTGCTAAATGCCTGTTATAATGTGCTGTAATGCAGAATTCTCCTTGATCTCAAGCAGAAACAGTAGATATTTATTACTGTGTGCAGTCCCAATCCAGTCAGTTATTAGATGCTATGGTGTAATTGGTCTTATTACAACAGACTGTGCCAGAAGGTCAAAGGCAAACTAAGTTGCTTGGCTGCATGAAACAGTTAAAAATTAAGTATTTAATTTCTAAAGCAATATTGCTTGTCTAGTGTGTCTGAATGGATATATATCCAAAGTTTGCACAGAAAAAAAAGTCTAGTAGTTAGGACATCGTTTGGGGACCCAAGGAGCCTCAGGTGCTTTTAGCAAAGCTCTAACATTCCTGTATGTTCAGCAGATCACTTTGACCTGTTTTTCATTTTCACTTCAAAATCGAATAGTACGTGACCAAGTCCCAGTGAAGTAGAGAAGATAAAATCCATAAGGTACTATGAACTGCTCAAATGCTGTGTTGACTATCAGGCAGAGAATGAATACTGAGTACCTGTTAGCATGGGCACTTGGAAAAGGGCAAATGCATTATCTAACATTTTTCCAGTTCTTAGCATTCTGAAGTGATCTGCACTTTCTCCTGCACATCATTCTTGTTTTCTATAGACTTGAAAGCGTAACGCTTGATGCTCTCACTCTTCTTTATCAGCAAAGTAAGCCAAACTTTGCATTTAATACAAGTCCAAGAGTAGAAGAAGAAAAGCTGAAAAACTAAGCCTCCTGTGCTCTTAGGAGCAGAAGTATTCCTAAAGCCAGACCAAATTCTGCAGATCAGTTCCTAAATCCTACCCTGTATCACTGCAGCAGTGCTAAAGGGAAAGTTTGTGAGGCAGCTGACTTTTAATTTGCCTGCTCTATGCTTAAGCTTTATCCTGCTCTATGATTTATTCCATAAGCAATTCATAAATAACTGAGTAGAGCTGTCTAATCAGATACACTTAGTGGCTGATATTCTTTCAGTTGAAGACTCAGTTAAAGTTGTCTTCTCTCTTTTTATTTTGCCATAAATTTAAATGAAAATATGCAGCGAAGATCACTAATTTCTTTGTGAAGTCCCTGAGGCAATTAACATCAACTTCTTGACTTGACCATACCCTATATATTTAACTCCAGTGGAGAGTTTACAGTGATAGCTGTGGAAAGACAATGACAGACTGGGATATAACCGTTTCCTGTCACCATACATGTTGGTTTAAGACACATGGAATAATTTCTGTTCTCTTTATCAAACAGGAGATGCTTGAAGGATGAATATAAATCCTCTCTGATCTTTTAACATCTGTGACTAGCTGTCATACATGACAGAACTGAAAGCTATGCAGAACACAGAATTACAGAACCCAGCTCTTGAGCTCATACATCACAGAATATGTATTTCCTATGCCTATGCACCCCACTGATACCTACCACACACCTCTTCTTTATAACAACAGACTCTTATAAGTAAAGCTTATGGAAAAAAGGAATTTGATCTCTTGTAAGGGAGAACACAAACATTTCAGCTTCAACCAGTGATTACTGGAATAAGAAAGAGATAAAGCTAGCATAAGTTAACATAAAATAAAGCATTGCACTGTGATATTTTGACCATGTTTGGAATAACAAGGATAAGAAATCCACTACGTATCTTTCAGTTTTAGTTATGTAAATATTGTGAGCAAATATGTGGAAAGGTCTCAATTTCCTTCCTTTTTAAGAGATTTAGCAGAACTTAAAACTTAGACAAGCACTATAAGAGAAAATGCGTAAGATATGTATCACCCTCACAGTTGATTTTCTCATGTATCTTGGAGATAGGATTGCTCAGCTGATCATATGCTCCAAGACTTAAAATATTATTAGTGCTTTTTTGGACTCTAGATCAACTCATCATCAGGTTAGCTGTTGGGAAACAGAAGATATCAGGAGGAGTATCTGTATACTTCTGCTATCTTCTGATATCTAGAGAATTTCTAGATTAGGGAATAGCAGTAGCTATCCAACTCTGAAAACATGCTTCTCTTTCTCCTAAATTCCTTCACTTTCTTTTCCTTTCTATCCTCTCCCCTTTCATCACCAATGTTTGAGATACTATGCTTGTGTTAGAACATGGTAGAAATAACATTTTACAATTAAGGCCTATGAGCTCAACATATAACCTCTATCTTCATGAGCAAACTATTCATATACAGTTGTTTCCCTAGGCAGACCAAGTCAGCATAAAGCTATGTGCCGCTGGTATCTGTACAAATGAAATCTGCCACTCTTTGATAACACCTGCAAAACAGTATGTAGAAATGAATGTCGCTAGAATACAAGCCTTACTGGACAAATGTTTATGTCATGGTGTGTGTTTACTAGCTTGTCCATTTTCTGTACTGCAGTACATGTTAATTTTTTTTAATTAAGCAATGTACATATCAATCTTTATCTCCAATAGAAAGTAAAAAGGAAATGAGAACTGAGGGAAAAATACTGAGAAAAGAGAATACTGAAGAATGGCTTAATAAAGATGAGCTAGGAATCACATTTTTATTGAAATATGGTACATACTCAGATCTAGGCGTATTTAATATGTACTTTCATTCTGAAGTCTCTATGCATGACTTATACCGAACTTCTATGCAAATAAAAATAGCTCATTTATTCAAGATGAACAACAACAAAAAGTTTTGTAGGCATAAGGTAAAGGTTTTGCTACCTGTCCAGCCTCGCCTCCACTTATTTCCAGTTTCACTTCGAGTTTTGATATCCAGTTAAATTTCCACTTCAGTGCAGCAAACAGCAATAGCAAGCATGCAGGAGTGAGGTAGCTTGAAAGCTCAAAGTTATTGGAGGATTGTTCTTGCATATATTTCTTCGATACCTGAACCATTCCTAAGCTAATAATCTTCAGTCTAAATGACCATATATTTATATACATTTGAGAGGTTGCAAGGTGCTTATTCATCCTCAAAAATCCTGTTATTTTCCTTGAACTTTTATTAATTTGCATTTGAAATAAAATAGGGTTGCCATCTTTAAATGTTTACAATCTTCTAAGCCTAAACTGGGTAGAAAGAGATTACTTATTACCTATAATTTGAACTGCCGCCTACAGATGAAAACATAGGCACTGGCTACAACCTTAGGAGTAATTTGAAAGTCTCTGTATCAGCTAGATACATATACTGGCTGTAATCTTTTTATTGATTGGAATACCTTGTCACTTGACACTAGTACGAATAATTCCCTACTACTGGTGGATAATTAAACCCAACTGCTGTATTCTTAAACTATTAGATATACTTTGCAAATCTTCACTGGCTTGTTTAGAAATATTTATAACAAAACATGTTCATTTTCTTTTTATTAACCAACTTTGAACTGGTTTGCCAATATATAGTTTATGTTATGGTTCCTGATCAGCTATGTATTTAAGGAGATATAGGAAGTTCAGGCATTAAGAACTTTAATTTCTTCTCCAGATTCCAGGGTTAGAATTATGAGGAACCCCAGGAGACACCTCTGTAAACAGTTTTGGACTGGTTCATGGAAATCGCTCCTGTACTTTCCATAGAACAGCTATAACATTTCACATTTTAAATTAGCCACTTGTAAAATGTTGTAGTTTTTTTTTTTTATTGAAGAAAGCCCTAAAAGGGAAGGTATTAAGCTGAAGCACAGATTAGTTTTATTAGTTTTATTTTAGTACTGCAGCGATTGACCATATTTCTTTTCTTTTTCATAGTTCCTGAAATAAAAATCACAAAGAAATCCAGCACCATTTCATCCAGGATTGTTAACCAAGAGCGAATTTCCAAGGCCTGGGCATCTTCTCTGATTTTTGCTCTGTGCTCGTGTGCAAAAGATGTCAGAAAACACAACGGAGAACTCAACTGTCCCTTATCCAGCTCCTCTAGGTTTGTTCCTGGGTAGCATTTCACTGATTACTGTTGTCATGAATATATTAGTACTATATGCTGTGAAAACTGAAAAGAAGCTGCAAACAGTAGGCAACCTATACATTGTGAGCCTCTCTATTGCAGATCTTATAGTTGGTGCAGCTGTTATGCCACTGAATATTGTTTATCTCCTAAGTCCCGTGTGGCCCCTGGGCATACCAGCCTGTTTGTTCTGGCTGTCAATGGATTATGTGGCTAGTACTGCATCCATCTTCAATCTCTTCATATTGTGCATAGACCGTTACCGTTCAGTTCAGCAACCACTGAGTTATCTCAAGTATAGAACAAAATTGAGAGCATCCCTAATGATTTTGGGGGCTTGGCTGCTGTCTTTCATGTGGGTCATCCCAATTCTAGGCTGGCATGTTTTTGCTAATAAAGGGAGAAGGAAAGTGAAGGAAAACAAGTGTGAAACTGAATTTTCTGAAGTCACCTGGTTTAAACTGTTGACAGCCATTGTCAATTTCTACCTGCCCTCTATCATCATGCTATGGCTCTACTTTAAAATATTCAGGACTGTCCGAAGACATTGTCAGCACCGAGAGCTCATCAATGGATCATTTCGGTCTTTGTCAGAAAATAAAAGCATACATCATAGTAAGACAAAGGATGAGCAAAAGATTTGCCCCGAAAAGCAAATCTTAGATGAGAACGCTCCTCTCGAAGACCACCAGAACTCCCCTCAGCCCAAAAATATGGAGGCAAAGCTTCATTTAGGCAATACCAACAAATCTTCAAAGGTTTTTGTTAGCAGGAGCGGCAGCAAAGTTTTCAAATGGAGCTGTTTCCCTCTCACCACTGCCCAGTCTAAGCCAAGCCTGGATAAAGCAGGAAAGAAGTATGTGTGTGCTACAGAGGGCAATCAGAATGAAGAGGAGCCATGCTCACAGGACAGTGACTTGAGCAGTGCATCAGTCGACCAGACTTCTGCACAGAAGGTTCCCTGTAGAAATGACTCTAATCCTAACTCTGAAAGAGCCTGCAGTCCTCAGGGAACAACTGAGGACAATGATTTCACAAGACTTACTTATCTGAAGAAAATGTGGCAAAGACTGCATACCCATTCCAAAAGGCACATTCAAGGGCTGCACATGAACAGGGAGAGGAAAGCTGCTAGGCAGTTAGGGGTCATAATGGCAGCCTTTATTTTGTGCTGGATTCCCTATTTTGTAGTATATATGATAATCCCTGGTCATGAACAATTTTTCCAGTTACACATGTGCACTATATGGCTTGGCTATGTAAACTCCACTTTAAATCCATTCCTCTATCCTCTTTGTAATGCAAATTTCAAGAAGACATTCAAAAAGATCCTTCACATTCACTGACAGTTTATCTTTGGACTGATTTTTTTGAGCAAAAAAAGAGTTTGTAAGTTCAACCAAACAAAATATTCCAGTTTCAAAGGCAAACACTATGGATATGGATAAAGTAGGTGGCTTTGGAAAACTGTAATTTACAAACAAGTGTTTGTAAAAGTGCGAAACAGGCATATAGATTTAACGTATTTGAAGAGGAACTAATTCAGATCAGGAATACTTAAAACTCGGGGCCAGTCTCAGAACTGTTGCACTACTGCACACACTTGACAGTTTGAGATTTCCTCTTTCATCATGTAGAACAAAAACTGAAAATATTAATAGAGATCTTAAGTGATTATGAAATATTCAGCTGTGGAAAAGGAAGAACTAGAATATGGTTTCTGTGATTGGCCAAATGATTATGTTTTTCCTTTTTAACTTACTGCTTTAAATATGGGAACACATTGCTTGTGAGGAGAGATCTCTTGCAAAAGGAGATATGTTACATAGACAAAAAAGAAGCTTCAACTGTTTGAGACAATCTACCCTATTTATTCATAACTTCCTCCAATTCATACACTTTTTTGAAATGTCAAGTCATATTGTAATATACTCTACCTCTTCGATATCATGCTTCCTTTATTTACACCAGTATCTGTTAACTTCAATGAAAAAAACAGAATTTTTATGTCCTAGATATTTTACTAAGACTTCCCAAACTCAACATACTATCACTGTCTATTCAAGAAGGGTATGTTGTTGTTACTAAACTTGCTGTATGTAGTAGGTTACGGACAGCATTTTTTTTTTCTTTCTACAAGCAGGCAAATAATCTAAGCATGCAGTAACAAACTAATTCATCCTTATCTTATAATAGGCAAACTCTTCTTAGTATAACAAGGCAAACTCATCAGCTTGCAAAACAGGACATAAAATATATAAAGTACGTTTACCTTTTCTATACTTTATATTTAATTGCATCTTATAAATCATGATGTAAATGCTGCTACATATTTCAGGAGTCACACAGAATCATGGGATAGTTTATGTTGGAAGGGACCTCAGGAAGTCATCTAGTACAACCTACCGCTGAAAGCAGGGTTAACTGACATTAGATCAGGTTGCTCAGGGCCTTGTCCACAAATCTAATAGCATGCACCTGCGGAGAGCTTCACTCGGAAAAGCTGGAAGGCAGCCTTGACTGAGAGGTTTGCAGCAAAGGTTGATGCTACCAGTTTTGAGAATTCACTTGCTCAGCCATTAGTTTAACTCCTTCTAAGGACAAACAGTAATAAATACTCAAAAGTAGACATGCTCTGTCATACAGTAGGAATCAATCACCACTCTGTAAGTGCAGTTAGGTATAGTTTTCTTCCCAACCAAAGGAAAAGAACATAGCTCTTTAGCAAGAGAGTACCCAGTGGCATATGTCAAATGGACTAGCTCTTCAGCAAGTGTACAACTTACCAGTACCATTACACCAAAATCAAAGGCATATACAGATTGAGAAGGGGAAAGGAAATTTGAGGCAGAAGAGATCTGTGGGGCCTAGTATTAGTTGACTATCTCAACACCAGGTACCACCATGTTTGTGGCACAACAGCAAAGCATTCCTGTTCTTCTGTGATGGAACCAAGTGAAAGAAACCTTTTGAGCAGACACTGTGGAGTTTCTGACCTTTGGGGCAACACTGCTATGATACTCCCTTTATGCTGTTTCTTTTAACAAGAAATACCAGGACCAGAAAACTTCAACAGCCAAAGACACACACACACACATACATATATATATATA